CAGATTTTTAAGCTCGTCATTATGCAGTTTTCTCCATGCCCCATCGTCTTCTCTCCTAGGCCCAAATATCCTCCTCAACACCCGATTCTCAAACACCTGCAATCTGTACTTTATCGAGACTTTATAATAGGAATTAAAATAAATGTAATTCTGTACAAAAGTACACACTTCTAGCACATAGTCAAAGCATGCATTTGTAATGGCAGTGAAAGGGTTGTTCATGATGATAATGATAAGTATTAAATAATCAATTTATGAAAGACTTTTGTAGATTATGTAATGCTACAGTCTATTTCTGACTACGGCCTCCTGGTTTTCCAAATCCTGTTAAAAACAAATATATCAGCCAACTGCAGAAAAAATACAAATACACATGCTCCACATGGGATTCTAAAAATTACCAGTTAATTTTCAAGAACTAAGTGGGTAATAAATTTAACTGTATTCTTATCAGAAATTAATTTGATCATTATGTTCCTGGAAAAGAGCACCTTTCCAGACCAGGCAAAATGAAGAATAAATACAGTTATGAGAAACATCTCACATTTCCACAGAGCTCATGTGCTGAACAGTCAAAAATGTGTCTTGGATTTCTACTCACTTGACAGAGAAATTATCCTCTTGGCCAACACACAGTGAAAAGGTCACGTTGTATGGACTGGCAGTGGACACGCTAACTGTAACTACATTAGTCCTTCCAACACCCTGGTGATGTGGAGAATAATAATTGTTGTCAGGACACAAAGTGCGAGACGTGCGAGAATACTGAAAGCTGAAAAAATCAACATACAGTTTTAAACACATTTGAAATATCAGTGGCAGATCCACAGAGACATCTAATGCATTTCAACCAAGCATTAAAATACAAAATTAAAATTTACACTGCATTTCATTGGTTTTCATTCTCAAATTAAACACTACCAGTCTCCACAAACCCATCTGGTGAGACACAGCGTTTTGTGAAGAAAAAACCCCTCGATGTCGTATTTATTCCAGAGAATGTACTCAGTTACTTACAGATGTGTCCTAGATTCAACTACAAGAGGCAACTGCCATGACAGCACACCTTTCTGCTGTTGAACAACAACCATCACAGGGTAAGTCCTATTTGAACTATTACATTCCACCATGATACGAGCTGGTTGTGTTGGAGATACCTATAAACATTGGTGAAATAAGAAAGAAACTATATAAACTGTACAGTAACAATTCTTGAAATTTACACATGATACCAAACACTTGGCAATTTAATTCTCTCAGATCTTCACTATTATTGCTTTGCATATCAGTATCTAAAACCCAAAATGTCTTAATTCTCCTTCCTACGAATTAATCAAGTTTAGGAATTACTTAGAACAGATTATACAACACGTGGATCAACGGTTAAATAATTTTAATACAATCACCTACCTGCAAGTTCATAAACTCAAATATGTATTCCACTGCATTGTTAACTTCTTCGAGATATACTTTCCCGTACGTCCCATTCAGTACAATGGGTACAATGTTGCTCCTTTCTTCACTCAACCGAATTATGTCTGGAGTTCCTGAACCTATGGCTACTGTTAACCACAAGGCAGTAACAAATACGTTTATGCGACACATATTTAAACAGTTATCACGTTAAACCTCAAACGTTGTCGCAAATGTAGGATGAAGATTCTCCTTATTTTAGTGTCGTTTAACATCAGTAATTACTGGTACTGATAACATCACAGTCCCATGGTGCAGTGTATTTAAAATACCAAACCGGCTACAATGCTTCAAACACAACAAAATCTTTTCAATGTCATATTCAAACATGAATAACCAACTACACTTTTCTTTACAGAAGCTGTCTTCCCGATCTTATACTACGTCATATCACATATGCACGCCATAGTTTATGACGCTGTTATAATGGACACATTACAAAATTTGATCCGCATTTTCATCGTAGATAACAGATTGCATGCGTGTCACATTTTCTGCTCCTACAACATAATCCACAGGCAAAGTCTAATCATAAGACTGCGCATCACATTCTACAGGTTATTACCAATATACCAATGGTACCAACAACAGCATGACACGAACACGAATAACCAACCGAAAAGAGAAACAATTAAGGATATTCACACAGTAAACGAAATGATGTGCATGAAATGGAAGGCCATCAGAATCTCCTTAGGCCTTACAAGATTGGACCGCCAGAGAAATCCTGACATTCGTAATGAGTTAAAAGTGAACATTCTAACAGAGGACATAAAATTATATCATAAGGGCTTGTTGAATGGACAGGAAGCCACTTACCCCAACTAGCTTTTCTATATCCACCCCGGGGAAGATGGGCTGCTGGAAGACCTAGGAAAAGATGGCAAGACCCAGAACACCTTTAGCTTTAAAGAAACAGGTCTAAAGATCTAACCGTTGTTTATGTTCATTAAGAACATCTCTTCAGATTTTTCCTTAATAAATAATTTCAAGACCCAGATAATGTAAAACTTAATCCATTCTTTGCACAAAAACCGAGTAAATGTTTACTGGTTTAATTAGTTTCACATAATTTATATCAAATGGTTGGAGGAAGCCATTTCTCAGCAACATTTTGAAATCCTACAACTGTTTAAACACATTGGTAACTATACATAACACTTACTGTAACGTTCAATAACTGAAAACATTTATCTCACAGAACGTATTTGTACGTTTCTAAAAACTAGTATTACCAGTTGGGCTTTGTAGAGGATCTGGGGTTTTATTTGAGGTATGAAAAAACTTTTAAATGTAATTATGCATTCTTTGCCCAATGCTCACACACCCAGCAGATTCCTCTGAAAATGGAATATACATTGTCCCAATGAGTAATAATACTACCATCCTTGCAGTTAGTGGCCAAAGGGCCAAGGCCATTGATGACGCTAATCTGCATAACCATATTTAAATTGTCCCACAGCTGGGTTATCTTCTTAATCAAGATGCAAATGATAACACCAACAGTTTATACAATGTTCTCAACAGGATTTTGATTCAGGCTTTACATCCCACAATAATTAAACTTACCTCTTTTACCATGCCCCAAATAAGCTGGACAGCAGAAATGTCACCAATTCTGCACAGGAGGAAAAGTCAAATAAAAGTGGGTTTACCATCCTCAACAACAATTCAACCGACGGTCCCCATACTTGATTTTACCCAATAATCTAAACAAGAATCAGTATTGCCACAAAGCAGGTGCACAATGTTTTCCATGGTTTCTTGTGTTACACAGGAGAAACCATTTGTAAACCTCACATTACCCACAGCATAACATTTTTAAAATTACCTTTCAACCAACTGATTCCTCTAACAAATCCAATCCTGACATAATTAATTAATTCATTATTTCCTCTTGGCAAAGTAGGCAGTAGGATGGTAGGTTTGAGGCGAGTGTCTCACAGCTTATACAGGTGGCCCCCAACTCTTTCACAACCAGTAAACCCTCTTATTATTAATAATGAAATTGCAACTCTGCCTTTGTTGTGTAATACATAATATGGCAACATTTTATTATGTATAATTAACTAGTTTTAGTTCCTGTAACATTGTAAATCCCCCTATTGTAAATTAGGATTAATTTCATGTTGGATGAAGATAATACATGAACTTTCATATAGCCAAAATGCATTCTCAGATTTTTTATTTCAGACAATCTACTTAGTATAAAGTTTATAATTATAAATCTATAAAGCACTATAAATTCAATTCTTCATTTAACTTCACAAAAAAGGTCAGAAATACTCTTCCAAAATGTGCTTTAATACGTGTGTATAATAATTCCATACTCACACAATTTATTAAAGTTGGCACCTCTACTATACATATATATATGTATATAGTATAAAAAACCTAAAACAGCATACACAGGTGACAAATTTTTAATATAGGATACAAACGTGAGCCAGATGTGAAACTAGTTATAGCGTGTCTTCTTATAAAAACATTTTCCATGAATACAGGAGAAACGTTCTGGATGATTACAATTCTCATGCTTAGTCTTAATTCCTTAAGGTTTCTACTCAATAGCAACAATTCAAATGTCACCAACAATGACATCTTCATCTGGTATCGAGTAAAAACATGCTATACCATATCACCTTAAAGTTTATCAACTTATGTATTTTGTTAATTTGTACACTTGTTCCATAGTTTTATGCTGTTATTAAATATTAAAAAATGACAGAAAAATACACAGATTAATTCTACATTTATTTAAAGCAGATTGTTTTGAAAACCTGGTACTGAATTTATTATGCACAAAAAAAAAAGATTCATGAATCTGAATATTTGCTTCTAGAAATAAAATGTATTGACAATAATTAACAGTCATTTATAAGCAGGTTAAAATAATTAAAGAAGGTATCAGTTAAATATGATAAGAACATAAAAAAGTAAAGCTGTCCTACTATAAGCCATGTAGGTACTTGGGGGGAGAGGCAGTTCACAAGTCTTACAGTATTAATGAATTCTAATGGGTTAACATGTCAGAATCTGCCCTGAACTCACCCTCTCCGGATTTCAGACTCAACTCACACAACTGCTTAACAAATACACATTTTTTTACACTTTAAAGAACATGCCAACTCCTCCCTTTGATTCATCGTAGGTTATAATCATTTTCAACATACCACCATGAATCTTGCACAAAACAAACATGTCCCTACAGTATAATTTACAGACCAAAATATCCTCCAACTTTTACAGAACTTTCACTACCATCTTCACAAGAGCCATTTTGGTCCTACAGTCTACACCCTATCATATCATGTTTAGTATCCACTTTAATATTATCCTATGCCTAGACGTCCTACATAACATCTCCTCTCTAGGTTTATGACTAAAGTTTGGTAGGCATTATTGTTCCTTGCTTGTTGAATCATTACAGCCACAGATGTTGGCAGCTATTTGTACAAAGCCTGTAGTAAACAATAGAACATTTTTAAAATGCCACTGTTCTTCCTGCATTATAACCTTCAAATAGCCATACACAGCACAAATGATATGCTGACAGAGAACGTGGCACCACATATTTTCAATCTGAACGATAACTTGAGAAAGAGAAAAAGACAGATTACTGTTAACTTTACAAGGTGAGACAGAACAAGGTTACTTAAGCCAGAATGTACATTGCTTCCTGGAATGCATGGGAGGGAGGGAGATGTGGGGACAGACTGAATGGAGACATAAAACACACAATTCCCTTTTAATTATTCTTGAGCTGTTCCACTTTAACATTTTAATTTTCAGTTTTAATTCAAACTGAAGTCACTGTAACAACGATAACATTTTAAAACTGGTTTGGACAGTGTTATAAGTAATATACATTAGGTTATAATAAAACTTTACTTGTAAATTCCCAAAAAGACTTAAAAATTATATTGCAATGATACATTTTTATAATATTCATCTTCTTAAAAAATTAAACTTGCAATTTATAATGCAGCACAGAATTCAGCATTCAAACTGGCATAGTTTGTAGAATGTTTCAGATTTGAAGAAATTTTTTCCTATTAAAATATCAATACTTAACACATTTTCAGGCATTTATTTGCTACGAAAGACAACTAAGAGCGGATGCCCGGCTGCCTGTTTCTTTGTATGCAAAAACTTTACAACAGAATACATTGGGGCAAATTTAACTTTGGTTCAGACTGGATAGCTTAATGCAAAAACACACAATTTTTTTTATTTCATTAAACATATTCAATACTATGTTTTCATTTTCATATACATACTCTTTTTCTGACAAAACTGATCAAATTCAGTTTCAGCACAGAGAATGCAACTACTGTGTATGCTGTACACACTCATCTTTCCACTCTTGCTACGCTGTTAAGGCTTAGCAGCAGCTGTTTCACGACTGAAGCATTACAATGGCCCGATATAAACACAGAATAACAAATCAATCAAATCTAAAAGTATCATCCCAATTCTAATAAGAAGCTTTGACAGGAAAATGGTATGTCTGTGGTAAACATTGGTTCATTCTTATCAAGACCACAAAAATTCTGCATTAGCTTTATTGATTAAAAAGAATGTAATTATATTTAGATAAAACTCATGCTTCAGCTTCATGGGATGTTACATATCCCCAAAGGTTAATGTTTTATATGTGAAAGTGATGTTGTGGGTATGAATGTGTGTATGTATGCTCACCTATAGCTCAAAAAGGAATAAGCCAATTTATTCCAAACAGTTGAGAGTGGTGAGCAACTGACTGACAAGCGTGGGCGCACGCGCATGCGCACCTAGGTCATTATCATAGTGCTGAAACCCAACAAACTAAAATTTTCAAGAAATCAGTTTCAAGTATAAACAACTAGAGATATGTAGATATCTAAACAGAAGGAAAGGAACAACAGATCCCACGTTTTCACTTCAATAAAAGAAATTACAGCTTCAAAGTTGGACTATAAACCAACTTGAATGAGCAACGTTGTTTTAAAATTACATACTATTTACCACCAACCAGTTTCCTTACATAATACACAAACGTTCCTTCTGTACATCATAAGAGTAAAGTAAAGCTGTCTCGCTATATGCCATGTAGGCGTTTGGGGGAGAGGCAGTATAGCTCCTCATTCTTAACCCTGGCACTAAGCGGGGGCGTGGTTACCCTGGCAACGCTTTACCCCAGGGAAAGGACCCCGGTACCCACTGGATAGGTGGATGGGTGAGTCCCAGAGCCTGTCTGGATGCAGAGGCTAGAGGAAAAATCCTCTTCTCTCCCATCGGGGATCGAACCACATCATATTCGCCAATAAACAGACAAGAATGGAATAAAAATTGACATAGGAAACTCCACAATATCTCAGGGCCAGGTTATCATAGAACTGCATAAGCATTAAAACAACTGTTCACAAACCCTTTAATGAGTGTCCTATATGTTCATATATTTACACATGATATTCTACGTTGCTTGGTTTCAGTACATTATATAATGCTATATTTGTTTGATTTGCAAAAATAAGTTCACATTTCATACTAACATGATTTTTCAGTTACAAATAAATAGAATAAAATAAGTTCAATAGTAACTTCAAAGAGTTTAGAACACACACCTATATTTTCATAGCCACATGCATTTCTCACTGATTTCCATAGTTCCTGGCAACATGGTTTACTTTGCTCTTGACAAAGCAGTTCACAGCCATCCTACTAAAGACTCAAGTCTTCAACTAATATATTTGAAATGATTAAATACAAAACATAACACAAGATTATTCAGTACTTGAAAATA